TGGCAGAGGTGGGCAGGGGGGGTTGGGGGGAGGAGGCGAGGGGGAGGCGAGGGGGGGGATGTGAGATCAGCGGGTGCGTCTGAGTACTGCAGTCGGCATCGCCCTGCTGGCAGCGCGGTAGGTGGGGAAGCACTGCCGAGTATGCGATGCGGTAAGATCCGCAATAAGGCACGGCAATAAGGCAATAAGGCAATAATGCACGGCAATAAGGCAATAAGGCACGGCGGAACCGGGTCAAGACGCGCATACCTTTCGGCATGGTTTCTAAAAACGCTCGAGGCCCTGAGGGAAATGAAATGGCTCCTCACACCCGCTCGCGTTTCCTTCTCCTCCTTTTAACAACCGGCCGTTACGTACGACGGCATATGGAGGCTCGTTAGAAGATTCTCCTGAATCCGAAGCCGCGGCTGCTATAACGGGGACTGGAGCCCACCTTCCTGGTGTCTGAATCCTCCTGCTCGCTGGGGCTACTAACTCTGGAGCGCCATTGAAAGGCATCGCCAATCCTAGTGGAACGCTCGATAGAGTCACATTCGCACGGTTCTCCCGGAGAAAGCCTGTGCGACAGATCGGCCTACCAGGCGAACAATCGAGCCCTGGCGAGCTAGTCGCACGAGACGCTACGAAAGATTGGCAAAGAGACGGACACGTCAGCGATGTGGTCATGGTTCTGTCTGCGAGACGTGTCAGACACGCATCAATGAGATCCTCATGCGGGGGAAAGCGAAGGTCTACTGGTTTCTGGCTCTCACTTCCCGCTCGCTGCTGCAAAGTCTAGATAAATACCAACGACAGCATCAAGCCCTACTAGACTGCTAGTCCCAAACTCCGCCTTCTACGGCAACGGTCCAGCATCACCTTAATTTACGACTACTAACGCCCCTCTGCTTCCATTGTCGCCTGCTTCCCTGCTTCTTAGTTGGTCTGCTACAAATAGCTCATCTATGCAGCAAGCACCCCTACATAGTAAGCTGCACAGTGTACATTTTGAAGCTGCGTTATATACAGTTGCAATGTTCCAAAGTTCCAAACGTACAAAAACAATATGTTTAATGCAAAATGATCAGCACAATTAAACAAAGCATAACCATACTGCATAACGCTGCAAAATAAAGCGGACTTGTATAGCCCAGTATTGCTACCATACAATAAAAATCTGACCCCTCTTGCCCGCTAGGGGTGTTAGCACTGCCCCTAGCGTTACACCCGGACACCACTAGGAGGTGGGGGACCGCCGCCCGGTAAACACATGGCCAAAACAAGGCAGGGACCGGAGTCCCAAAACATTAGGCAGCAGCCATGTTCGAAACCACTGGCCGGAGATGCAGTTTCCCGGTGTGAGTGGCTGCGACAGATGGTTCCCGCAACAGGAGATAGTAGTAGTTTCCAAGTAGTTCATCCAACCAGTGGCCAGGAAACCGGTTTCCCGAACCAATGGCTGGAAAATATGTATAGCCCAAAGCAAGAAGTAGGAAAACACGTATTTCCCAAGCCACTGGTTGGGGGATTGGTCCCGAAGCAGTGGTTAGGATAGATAGTTCCCCTGGTAAGGGTTAGAAAACAGGCATATCCCAAGCAGTGGCTGGGATGCATGGTGAAAAACCAAGAAGTAGGGAAGAGGTAGTTTCCCAAGCCATTGGTGGTGGGGGATTCGGTTCCCCCAGCAATGGTTGGGACATATGTTTGCCATGATAGTGGCTAGGATGCATGGTTTTGCCATGATAATGGCTATGATGTATACTTTTGCCAAAATAATGGCTAGGATGCATACTTTTGCCATGCGAATGGCTAGGATGTATGGTATTGCTATGATGGTATAGTTTTGCCACCCCCCTCCGCCCCCCTCCGCCCCTCCACTCTTCCACCTCCCACTCCCTGACACCGTCCATCCCTCCTCCCACACCTCTCCTACCCTTCCACCCTCACCTTCAGCTTCCCCCTCGCCTCCAGCATCCACCACTGTTTCAGCTGGATCCCCTCTTTCCCCCTCATTCAACTTCCACTCTGCTTCAGCTCCCCCCTCCCTCTCTGCTTCACCTGCATTCTCTGCTTCAGCTTTGCCCTTCTGCTTCTGCCACCCATCTGCTAAAAACATCCCCCTGCTTCAAATTCCCCTCTGCTTCAGCATGCTCCTCTGCTTCAGCATGCTCCCCTGATTCAGCATGCTCCTCTGCTTCAGCATGCTCCTCTTGCTTCGGCATGCTCCTCTGCTTCGGCATGCTCCTCTGCTTCAGCATGCCCCTCTGCTTCGGAATCCGAGGAACCTGTTGATTCAGCTGCATCCTCCCCTTCTCCTCCACCCCCTCATCACCCCATCACCTCATGGGTGAGTTACATGCCATCTCAAAGAGTGTGGGGCAGTTGCCTCCCATCCTCCACACTCTGCTGCTCTGCGCTCTTAAAGGGTGTGGGGAGCACCGGCACACTCTGCTTCCAGCCATGGCAGCACCGGCACACTCTGCTTCCAGCCACGGCAGCATCGGCACACTCTGCTTCCAGCCATGGCAGCACCGGCACACTCTGCTTCCAGCCATGGCAGCACCGGCACACTCTGCTTCCAGCCATGGCAGCATCGGCACACTCTGCTTCCAGCCACGGCAGCATCGGCACACTCTGCTTCCAGCTACGGCAGCATCGGCACACTCTGCTTCCAGCTACGGCAGCATCGGCACACTCTGCTTCCAGCCACGGCAGCATCGGCACACTCTGCTTCCAGCCATGGCAGCATCGGCACACTCTTCTTCCAGCCACGGCAGCATCGGCACACTCTGCTTCCAGCCACGGCAGCATCGGCACACTCTGCTTCCAGCCACGGCAGCATCGGCACACTCTGCTTCCAGCCACGGCAGCATCGGCACACTCTGCTTCCAGCCACGGCAGCATCGGCACACTCTGCTTCCAGCCACGGCAGCATCGGCACACTCTGCTTCCAGCCATGGCAGCATCGGCACACTCTGCTTCCAGCCACGGCAGCATCGGCACACTCTGCTTCCAGCCACGGCAACACCGGCACACTCTGCGTGGGGCCAGCTGCCCTCCATCCTCCTTCCTCTGCTGCACGGCGCTCCTCCCAGCAGCGTCTTCCCTCCTCTGCTGCACGGCGCTCCTCCCAGCAGCATCCTCCCTCCCACTGCTGCATGCTACCTTGGAGAGTGCTGAAAGAGATTACCACCAAGCACAAATAAGGCGCATTGACAAATAACTCAACAGAAAAGAGTTTAACAGCAAAGAGCTCAGCACAGAAGAACTCAACAGGAAAATGGTTCAACAGCAAGGAGCTCAGCACGGAAGAACTCGACAGAAAATAACTGAATAGCAAAGAACTCGACAGAAAATAACTGAATAGCAAAGAACTCGACAGCAAATAATTCATTCGCAAAGAACTCAACAGGAACCGCTAGCGTTCTTCAAGGCGCCTCCAAAAGGGACGACCAACTGAACTTACAGCAGCAGCAAGGAGTGATCCTGTGTTGATGTGTTGGCATTTTCTCCATCTTCCCTCCTCCTGCAGACCCGCGCACCCCTCTGCATCACACTCCGTTCTGCTGCACCGCGCTCTTAAAGAGTGTGGCGCAGCTGGCCCCCATCCTCCCTCCTCTGCTGCACCGCGCTTCCAAAGAGTGTGGGGTAGCGGCCTCCCATCCTCCAGGAGAGCGGCGGCATACTCTGCTTCCAGCCACGGGAGCACCGGCACACTCTGCTTCCAGCCACGGGAGCTCCGGCACACTCTGCTTCCAGCCACGGGAGCACCGGCACACTCTGCTTCCAGCCACGGGAGCACCGGCACACTCTGCTTCCAGCCACGGGAGCTCCGGCACACTCTGCTTCCAGCCACGGGAGCTCCGGCACACTCTGCTTCCAGCCACGGAGCACCGGCACACTCTGCTTCCAGCCACGGAGCTCCGGCACACTCTGCTTCCAGCCACGGGAGCTCCGGCACACTCTGCTTCCAGCCACGGGAGCACCGGCACACTCTGCTTCCAGCCACGGGAGCTCCGGCACACTCTGCTTCCAGCCACGGGAGCTCCGGCACACTCTGCTTCCAGCCACGGAGCACCGGCACACTCTGCTTCCAGCCACGGGAGCTCCGGCACACTCTGCTTCCAGCCACGGGAGCTCCGGCACACTCTGCTTCCAGCCACGGGAGCTCCGGCACACTCTGCTTCCAGCCACGGGAGCACCGGCACACTCTGCTTCCAGCCACGGGAGCTCCGGCACACTCTGCTTCCAGCCACGGGAGCTCCGGCACACTCTGCTTCCAGCCACGGGAGCACCGGCACACTCTGCTTCCAGCCACGGGAGCTCCGGCACACTCTGCTTCCAGCCACGGGAGCACCGGCACACTCTGCTTCCAGCCACGGGAGCTCCGGCACACTCTGCTTCCAGCCACGGGAGCACCGGCACACTCTGCTTCCAGCCACGGGAGCTCCGGCACACTCTGCTTCCAGCCACGGGAGCACCGGCACACTCTGCTTCCAGCCACGGGAGCACCGGCACACTCTGCTTCCAGCCACGGGAGCTCCGGCACACTCTGCTTCCAGCCACGGGAGCACCGGCACACTCTGCTTCCAGCCACGGGAGCTCCGGCACACTCTGCTTCCAGCCACGGGAGCACCGGCACACTCTGCTTCCAGCCACGGGAGCACCGGCACACTCTGCTTCCAGCCACGGGAGCACCGGCACACTCTGCTTCCAGCCACGGGAGCTCCGGCACACTCTGCTTCCAGCCACGGGAGCACCGGCACACTCTGCTTCCAGCCACGGGAGCACCGGCACACTCTGCTTCCAGCCACGGGAGCACCGGCACACTCTGCTTCCAGCCACGGGAGCACCGGCACACTCTGCTTCCAGCCACGGGAGCTCCGGCACACTCTGCTTCCAGCCACGGGAGCACCGGCACACTCTGCTTCCAGCCACGGGAGCACCGGCACACTCTGCTTCCAGCCACGGGAGCACCGGCACACTCTGCTTCCAGCCACGGGAGCTCCGGCACACTCTGCTTCCAGCCACGGGAGCACCGGCACACTCTGCTTCCAGCCACGGGAGCACCGGCACACTCTGCTTCCAGCCACGGGAGCACCGGCACACTCTGCTTCCAGCCACGGGAGCACCGGCACACTCTGCTTCCAGCCACGGGAGCACCGGCACACTCTGCTTCCAGCCACGGGAGCTCCGGCACACTCTGCTTCCAGCCACGGGAGCTCCGGCACACTCTGCTTCCAGCCACGGGAGCACCGGCACACTCTGCTTCCAGCCACGGGTGCAGAAGCCACCTCCTGGAGAGGGGAACAGGAGAGAGGCAGAAAATTGAAGACAGAAAACGTGAGGGAGATGAATCACGCAAGTCGACTAGCTGGATTTAGATATTGGATTTAGCCTCGAATAGCTGTTCAGGAGCAGAAGTGAACCCATGGGCAAGCAAAGAGCAAAGAGCAACTAGCAAGCACTTGAGTGCTCGGTCCCTACCATGTGTGACTGCGTTCCCCTCTGCTCCACGCCCTTCGTGTCGCCACGCTCCTTCGCCGCCTGCGTTCCATCCGCCCTCTGCTCCATCCTCCCTGCGTTCCATCCGCCCTCCTGCAGGCCAGCGCACCCATCTGCACCACACTCCCTCCTCCTGCACAGCACTCCTCCCAAAGGGTGTGGGGCAGCTGCCTTTCCCATCCTCCACGGGAGCACCGGCACACACTGCAGCCAGCCATGTGACGCCACCTGCACAGGGGAACAGGGGAGAGACATAAGTTGAGAGAGCGGGCTCGCTAAAAGTGCAAGCTGAAATGGATGTAGCGCCGACTAGCTATCTGGAAGCAAATGTGACCCGATGGGCAAGCAAAGAGCAAAGAGTCAAGAGCCAAGAGCCAAGAGCAAGAACCAGCGTACCATGTGTGACAAGAGCTCGCCTCTGCTCCATGCCCCCTCCTGTCTCCACGCTCCTTAGCTCCATACGCTCGCCTCTGCTGCACAGCGAGAGACAGAAATTCAAAACAGAAGCCGTCAGAGTGTGAAGCATCGACCAGCTATCTGGCAGCAAAAGTGACCCGATGGGCAAGCAAAGAGCAAAGATTGAAGAGCCAAGAACCAAGAGCCAAGAGCCAAGAGCAAGCACTAGCGTACCATGTGTGACAAGCGCTCGCCTCTGCTCCATGCCCCCTCCTGTCTCCACGCTCCTCGGCTCCATCCGCTCCCCTCTGCAGCAACAGGCCCCTCCTGCCCGCCTGCCACAACATGCTCCCCACCACTACATTCTTGGAAACTGCTGCAAGAGACTGGGCCAGCACTTAACTGAAACACACGAGGAAACCACCAAGCAAATTGGGGGAAAAAAATAACAACCAGCAGCACCTGCTAAATACACTTACAGCAGACGTAGAAGGCGCTCCCCTTGGCTGCTCCCCCCGTTGCCGCCCCTCACAAAAGTGCTGCCGACGCCTGAGGAGAGGACAGGTTCCAGAAGAGAGATTCAATAACGAGAGGAAAGAAAACGAAGTGCAGGAAGAGCGAACGGGTTGAGTGGAAGCGGAGGAATAGAAGGCGAAAGGGTGAGGTGCTTACCAGTGTTGGAGTCTTTGCGCCTGCCCTTCTGCTTCTGGTACCTGGGAGGAGGGGAGGGGAGGGTAGGGGAAGGGGGAGATAGGAACGGGAGGGGGACAGAGACAGGACGGGGGGGGAGAGGGGGAGGAGGGGGATGGGACGAAAAGACACAAAACAGAGTGCAGGGAGAGAGCAAAACAATGAGGAGAAGGGAACGGATAAAAGTAGAGGTGCTTACCAGTCTTGGCGTCTTGGCGTCTTGGCGTTGTCTTCGTGAGGTGCACACCACCCCCCGCCCCACCCACCACCCACCACCCACCATCCCCCACCCCCCATCCCACAAACCCCACCACCCATCCCCCACCACCCACCACCACCCACCACCACCCACCACCATCCACCACCATCCACCACCACCCACGCACCACCCACCACCGCCCACCACCCACCCACCACACGCACCACCCACCACCGCCCACCACCCACCACCCACCCACCACACGCACCACCCCCATCACCCCCACCACCCACCACCACCACCACCATCCACCACCATCCACCGCCACCCACCACCACCCACCACCCACCACCCCCCCCACCAAACACCACCACCCACCACCATCCACCACCAACCACCACCACCCACCACCACCCACCACAACCCACCACCACCCACCACCACCACCCACCACCGCCCACCACCCACCACCACCCACCCACCACCCACCCACCACCCCCACCACCCCCACCACCCACCACCACCCACCACCACCACCCACCGCCACTACCCACCACCACCACCACCACCACCACCACCACCACCACCACCCCCACCACCCACCAACACCGGCCACCACCCCCACCACCACCCACCACCACCCACCACCACCCACCACCACCACCCACCACCCACCAACACCCACCACCACCCCCCACCACCACCCACCACCACCCACCACCACCCACCACCACCCACCGCCACCCACCACCACCACCCACCACCACCCACCACCACCCACCACGCACCACCACCTCCACCATCACCACAGCCACAAGCTGTCTGTGCTGTCTGTACTGTGCTGTGCTGTACTGTGCTGTGCTGCCTGTAGGTGGGTAGGTGGACGGATCATCACGGCAAGTGACACAAGGCAAGCAACAGGCGACGCGAGGGGAGAAGGGCTAGCATGCTGCTAGCTCCACTCAGGCAGAGAAACACAGCGACTGAAGCGACTGAGGCACAAAGAGAGAGCAGAGAGGTACGTACCATCAAGCTAGCAGCCCCACTCAACCGGAGCAACCCGACGGCGACTGAAGCGAACGAGACACGCCAAAGGGAGTAAGGAGTGGGGCAGGATGAGGCAGCTAGATACGTACCAGCCGCTCCCCTCCCGCAGACCAGAGTTGTATAAAATGTCTTACTAGCTCTGCCTGCTGGCAGCTAGATACGTACCAGCAGCTCCCCTCCCGCTCCCGGCAGCTCATTGGGGCGCGGTGGTCAGCAGGGCATGCGAAGGGCAGTCACAGCCCCGTGGCTGCATGCCGTGCGCCATCCCACGGCTGCCCCCCTGCTGCCTCTACTCGCGGCTGCTGCATAGGAGGGGCAGAGCAGCGGGGGAAGGGGGGGATGGGGAAGGGACAAGTGAAAGAGAGAAGGAGAGGAAGTGAGTGAGTGCCCAAGCGAGTGAGACAAAAGAGCAGAGAGATGATGATCATGAAACGTACAGGAAAGTGCAAGCGATGGTGCAAGTAAGTAGAACTGAACACGAAACGAGGAAGAGGGAGAGGGAATTGTCCCGGTAATGGTTGGGTTGTCGGTCTTGGGGTTGCGGGACGAGTGGGTGGGGGCGCTGCCGGTGTTGGAGGGCTGCAGGCGCAGTTGGGGCAAGTGGGTGTGTTGGAGGCTCCAGGTCCCACCAAGCGACCATACCAACTCACAGTGAGTGTCTACCTCGCAGCCACCATGCTCACATCATGGCACTTGCCTATCACCTGGGGAGGGTCCCTTGGTGGGAGAACTGGCAGCCAGAGGAGGAGGGACAGATGAGAGGAGGAGGAGAGCGGGAGCGGTGTGAAGCCGCGTGTGCAGCACGCTCCTCCGCCCCGTGGGTTCTTGCAGCCGCACTCCCTCCAGCCGCACTCCCTCCAGCCGCACTCCCTCCAGCCACACTCCCCCCAACTGCACTTCCTCCAGCAGCAGCACCCGTGAGCCTTCAGCACAAGGGGGAGTGCAGTGGTCAGCAGGGCTCCCAGCAGCGGCACCCGCAAGCCTTCAGCGCGGGGGGGAGTGCAGTGGTCAGCAGGGCGAGCAGGGGGCAGTCACACCGCTGTGGCTGCCCGCCGTGCGGCATCCCACTGCCCTCCCACTCCGGCTCTGCAGGGCACACTCCCGTGGGCCTGGTACAGGGGAATGGTGAGGGGGAAAGAACGCACTTGGGGAAAGAACGCACTTGGGGAAAAAACGCACTTGGGGAAAAAACGCACTTGGGGAAAAAACGCACTTGGGGAAAAACGCACTTGGGGAAAAACGCACTTGGGGAAAAACGCACTTGGGGAAAAACGCACTTGGGGAAAAACGCACTTGGGGGAAGAACGCACTTGGGGGAAGAACGCACTTGGGGAAGGAGTTGCAGAGAATTAGATCAAGGCATGCCAATCCAAAGACACGAGCTAAAACAAGCACAAGTTACGTGCATGAAACGCGGAAGATTTGCACAAACGAAGCCCTTTGCGAGAAGCAAAAGCGCTAGCGAGAATGCATCTTGCAAAGCCCAACTAACAGAGAAAGGGCGATGGTAGCGCACGGCATCAGGGCATGGAGCTAGCACGCGAGGGGGACGAGGTAAGAGAGGGACGCGGGCATGAGGATGAATGCGTTTCTACCCCCTGCAACTCTAGTATGAGCCCTTCCGCCCCAGTGCCATGCGCTACCACCGCCACGCGCCCATCACCCCGAAACGAGCTTTTGATCCCCCCATTTCTTATAACGAGCTTTTGATCCCCCCATTTCTTATAACGAGCTTTTGATCCCCCTATTTCTTATAACGAGAAAAGCCAGCAATGATGGAAGGAACACGCAAGCACCAACGGGAGGCAAGCAATCCTTGTCTGAGGAAATACAAGACTGGCAAGGGATGAGGAGACTTGACCGTATTGGTGGGCCAGTCATGAGGCGAGCGCAATGGCTGCAGCACGTGCTGCCTCCACCAGCATCCCCAGCAGCAGCACTCCTGACAGCAGCACTCCCAACAGCAACACTCCCGACAGCAGCACTCCCAGCAGCACGTGCTCCCTCCAGCAGCACTGCCGACAGCAGCACTCCCAGCAGGCTCACTGGAAGGCCTCGCGCATGATGGAGAGCAGCGGTCAGCAGCGCGAGCAGGGGGCAGTCTCACCGCTGTGGCTTCCCCCGTGCGTCATCCCACTGCCCTCCCTCCCCGGCACACGGCAGGCGTGGCACAAGGCGAGAGGAGGAGGAGGAGGAGGAGGAGGAGGAGGAGGAGGAGGAGGAGGAGGAGGAGGAGGAGGAGGAGGAGGAGGAGGAGGAGGAGGAGGAGGAGGAGGGGAGGAGGAGGAGGAGGGGGGGGGGGAGAAGGGGGAGGAGGAATTGACGGTCTGCTGCTGGTGCTGGTGCTGCTGCTGCTGCTGCTGCTGGCACTGGCGCTGCTGCTGTTGGCAAGGGCGTTGCTGCCCGCATTCCCTTTGGGAGAGGGTTGAAACACGAAGCACTGTGGGGAGGGGATGCAGGAAACTAGGTCAGTAGAACGAAGTAGTACAAAGAATCACAAATAACAGCAGATTACGTAAGAAGGCACGCAAGGCCAGCATGGGAAGTCAATCCAAGACAACCAAAAAAGAGATATGGCACTAAATCACAAGGTAAGGCGATGGTAGCGCACGGCACCAGGGCATGGAGCTAGCACGCGAGGGGGACTAGGTAAGAGAGGGACGCAGGCATGAGGATGAATGCGTTTCTACCCCCTGCAACTCTAGTATGAGCCCTTCCGCCCCAGTGCCATGCGCTACCACCGCCACGCGCCCATCACCCGAAAACAAACTTTTGATCCCTCCCATTTTTATTCGAGAAAGCCCACAAAGTGATGGGGAGGGAATAAGCAAACATTAACGGGAAATCGAAGATTGGCAAGGGATAAGGAGACTTAGCGGTCAGGGTGGCAGTTGGAGGCGAGTGTCATGCCTGCAGCACTCCCACCAGCGGTTCTTCACCATCGTCGCGCACGGGACTCCCGGGGTCGTCGCCATCCTCGCGCACGGGTCGTCGCCATCGTCGCACGCGGGTCGTTGCCACCGTCGCGTGCGAATCGTCGGCCTCGTAGCGTGCCGATTGTCGCCATCGTCGCGCGCAGGTCGCTGGCATCGTCGCGTGCGGATCGTCGCCATCGTCGCGCGCGGGTCGTCGCCATCTTCGCGCACGGGTCGTTGCTATAGTCGCGGCGGTTCATCGGCATCGTCGCGCGCGGGTCGTCGCCATCGGCGCGTGCAGGTCGTCGCCACCGTCGCGTGCGGGTCGACGACATTGTCGCGTGCAGGCCGTCGCCATCGTCGCGTGCAGGCCGTCGCCATCGGCACGAGCGGGTCGTCGACATAGGCGCGAGCGGATCGCCGCCATCGTCGCGCACGGGTCGTCGCCATCGTCGCGCACGGGTCGTCGCTATAGTCGCGGCGGTTCATCAGCATCGTCGCGCGCGGGTCGTCGCCATCGTCGCGTGCAGGTCGTCGCCATCGTCGCGCGCGGGTTGTCTCGTTCGCCGCCGCTTGCCGATCGTCGCTCGCCGCTCTCCCGCTCAGCGCTCTCCGGATCGCCGCTTTACGCCTTCACGAGGGTTGCACGCCTTCACGAGGGTTGCACGCCTTCACGAGGCTTGCACGCGGTCATCGAAACGCCATTCGAAGCCAGTCATGTTCCAGCCCCGCTGCTGCCTTCCCATCGCTCGCCGTCACCGTGAATCGCTGCTCGCCGTGCTCCTAAGTTCGACCGTCCGGAGTCCACGAGTTCGCGAGTCCGCGAGTTCGCAAGTTGCACGCCTTCAACGAAACGCAACGCTGTTTGAAGCCCAGCTGCTGCCTTCCTTCCTTCCCACCGCTCGCCGTCGCCGTGACTCGCTTGCTTCTCGCTGCTGCGTAGCTCGACCGTCCGCGAGTCTGCAGTCCGCGAATACGCGAGCTGCGCCTTTGCTGCTCGAGTTCCATAATCTCGACCGTTCGCGAGCTGCGTCGTTGCCACGAAGCACTCTCGGCAACTAGAGCGGTGCAGAAACATCAGCGCGGATGGATCCGCAAGGAGACTGGGTGTCTACCACCAAGCAAGTGGTAAGTTTCCAGCCCAGATAGTAGCTCAGGATGTAGCTCAGGATGTAGCTCGACATACTTCGCCGACGCTCTCTCCCTCTCTCCTTTCTTAATCGCAGGACCTGATGCATGATGCACAGATCGTCAGGCTGACGCACAAGCCCAGTGGCCGTGCCTTGACGCTCAGCGACCACAGCAGCCATCAGCGTCTCGTTGGAATGCTGCTACCCGCAGTAAGGTCAAACAGAAGTCGCCGAGCGGTGACCAGACTTTAAGGTGAGGAAACTTCAGCCTATCGGAATCTCAGCTTAGAATGCTATCTTGACGGTAGGCCAACCTAAGCTAAGAAGTACGCGGTGAATAGACAGCCTATCCGAATGTCGATGGCCTCGGAAGCTGGCTCGACTATCGAATTCCTTCCACCCTAAGGAGAGCTTTTATCGGGATATGATATTAGAATAATGGCTGTTACGACCAGGAGACGTAAAAAACAGAGAGGAGATATGCGGGAACCTATGTTCTCGGAAGGATTTACGACAGAAGCCATTGCGAGTCGAAGCCGCGGAAAGCTTGAGTCGCTACGCTCGCGTTCCAACGAAACCCTATTGTTAAAATCCGCTATCAACCATTTAGCGGTAAATCGGCTGTCAACAACCTAGAGGTACGGAATAAGCCCGGTCGGCGCTCATGCTGAGATGAATGATAAGGCACGGATCCAAGGACGCCATCAATATGAGGAACTGCCTCGAGCCTAGGGAATTCCGAAATGGCAGTGATCAGGCAGAGCATAACTGGGAGACTAGACGAATTCTAATGAGAAATCCACAATGAGACGGAAGGCTTGAAGGAATTCGGTCGGATTCGCTCGGGGCGTGTCAATAAAAATCCTTTGGGCCGAACCTGAACCGTTCTGGATTATTATTTGACCGTTCCCGAACGCAGAATAACTTAGCGGACCGCAAGCGAATGTACTTCGGTGACACGCCCTCAATGCATGTTGCGATAAGAGAGACGGAGGAGCAAGGTGACGGAGAGTGAGGGAGGGAGCTCTCGCGGGCTCCTAGCGGAAACCGCCGCCAAGGCGGTGGAGGACACAAAACTGAATCAGTCAGTTTCGCGAGCCGAATCGTTTGGCGAGGGAACCAGCTGTTCGCCACGAGTAAAACATTGTTGCGAAGCAAGAAAGTTTCGTCAACATGGTTACTGAAAACCGCAGCGCTAGAACCACGCGCGTGTATGAACGAATGAGCGGGAGCGTTCCCCATGAACTCTGCGCACCTGACAGAAATTCCAGTGATGGCGGAAACTGCTCAATACTACTGCTTACGTGCCTAGCCGATTCACAATGTTGATTATTCTAACGGCTGAGATAATCTTTGTGGGCCCACTTCGAAACAAGAAAAGCTGTGAGGTGACGTGTAAAGTTCCCAGCAGAGCAGGAAGGAGTCGGTCCTTGCGCTGCGGGGGGCGATTCGTCTGGGCGCAGCGCAGTTGAATGCTCGCGTGGCAGCCTCCCCTGGCCGCAATGCCGGCAATCCTCGACTGTGTAAGGATATGGCAATCCTCGCATGTGGCTAAGGAAATTAAACAATCATCCTAAGTAATTTATCCACTACGCGTATGTCTTCTTTCTTCCCCTTGTCTTCTTACATTTTGTGGCCCCAGTTTTTCCCTCACAATCACCACCCCAGAGCATGTTCTAGCGCATGCTAAAGCCTGTGCTTCCTGAGGTCCCATTTCCTCCTTCCACAACAACTCCTTTCTCCCTTGCCCTCAACTCGAACCGTCCAGAACATTCTGGAGCAAATGCTGGGGGCAGCGCGGCGGGGCATGTGGCAGGCGAGTGAACGAGGTGATAGGGCAGCTCCAGTGATGAGCTATATTTTTTTAATTTACCATTCGAAGTAGGTAACTAGAGACACCTGTTGGGCTGAGAAAAGCCCTTAGGATCTTTGCAGAGACTAAGTCCAGCTGTAGAGACTTTCAGACTTTGAGTAGTGCAGCGGAAGTTTGAGACAGTTGAACCCTTGTACTAGTATGTGAGAACAAGTGATTGATTAAAGAAACAAGCATACAGCAATATATAGAAGATAAGAAAGCAGTTGTAGAGTACAGTTACAGGAATGGTTTATCGAGTCGCACAGCGACTCGACTGCCGCTTCGGTTACCATCCGTGATGTTGTAACGGTCAGTCGCAACCTCCAGTTGCGACCTTTCGAGTCTTTTCGCATTCTTTGTCCGCCCCCTCATGTAACCTCCGTTGACTCGCGTGCTCCCTTGTAGTCTTCCTCGAGTGCAGTGTTACACTTCAGAAACGCTCAAGTCCTTTGAGATATTTCCAACACTCCCCTTCGTTTCTGGAGTGTTGACGTGTTCGGGTCCGGTGACGTTTGTTTGCCCGGTCAGGAACATGCAGTAGTCGAATTTTGCTTTCGCCAATTTCTTCGTCAGATAATCTGCGGCCATTTCTGTCGTCGGGCAGTAACTGAGTTGAAGTCTCCCCTTCGCGATTTCATCCTTGACGAAGAAGTACCGCAGGGCGATGTGCTTGGTTCGGTTGGCGAAGCCGTCCTTGTTCGCGATTTTGATCGCAGATTGGTTGTCGCAGAGGAGTGAGAAGGCGGGCAGGGTCGCAATCTTCGCTTCCTCGAGTAACTCCCGTAGGTAGAGTCCTTCCTTGGTCGCAGTACAAAGGGCGATATACTCTGCTTCAGCCGAGGATAGTGCGATTAACTCCTGCTTGCTCGACTGCCAGGAGATAGTTCCGATGGGTTCTAGTCGGTAGATATAGCCCGTCCTAGATCGTCGATTTTCCCTATCTCCCGCGTGGTCGGCGTCGACGTATCCGAGTAGTCGTACGGACGGTGTTGTCGCTTTGCTGTAGGTAAGTCCGATCGTCGGCGTGGAGACGAAGTAGAGTAGTGCCCGGTTGAGCTCCTCGAGATCTTCCTGTTCCGGTTGCTTCAGATGCGTCGCCAGTTGACTCGCACTATAGGACAGCTGGATTTGCTTCGCGGGGAGTTTTGCGGAGGTGCTGTTGTTGTTCCCGTAGCGGTAGGGAGTTGGGACCGTAGTCGGTGTTAGGCCGAATTTCTTCGCGACGGTGCCTGAGTACTTTCCAGCGTGTAGGTAGAACGCCGTGTCGTCTTCGACGACATTCAGTCCTAGGTACTGGGTCACTTCATCGGACACCGTGAGTGTTAAGTCTTCTTTCAGCTCCCCTTCGAACCAGGTAGCGATGTCGGTAGTGGAGCCGATGTAGAGCAGGTCGTCGACGTAGACGATGAGTAGGACGTACTCTCTTCCCTTCTGCAGTCGGTACATCCCTTGGTCATGCGGCAGTTGTAGGAATCCGATTTTTGCGAGACGGCCGTGAAGGTGTTGCTGCCAGAGCCGCGGGGCTTGCTTGATCCCGTATAGGGATTTTGTCAGTCGGCATACTTTCGTGGGTCGTCGATGAATCCGTGGGGTTGTTCGACGAAAATCTCAGCGTCCACAGGTGCGTATAGGAACGCATTGGCGACGTCGATTTGGCGTAGTGGTGGTGTCTTCGTGGCCGCGACGGCGAGTAGGATGCGTAATGAGGTGTGACGGGAGACTGGAGCGAAGGTTTCTGTGTAGTCAGTTCCGTATCGTTGATCGAAGCCTCGTACGACCCATCGAGCTTTGAATCGTTCGATGGAGCCGTCTGAGTTGGTCTTGATGCGGTACACCCATTTCCCCGAGAGGACGTTCTTCCCGTTGATGCTTGTTGCAGGTACCAGTTTCCATGTTTCTCGGTCTTGCAGAGCCTTTAACTCCTTTTCCATCGCTTCTTTCCATTTTGCCTTATGTTCCCCCCCCTAGAGCCTGCGACAAGGTCGAGGCTCACGCGGAGAAGGCGGCGGCGGATGCTGGACGGAGACCCAGAGCCTAGAATCTGCAGTCCCGTGGGTGTGTGTCGAGGGGAATTTTCGTTCCCGGAATAGCTGCTTCGTCACCGTCTTCTGGGTCAGGTAAGAAGTTGGGACTGATGCGTTCTGAAACATTTGTGTCGACTGGGTGGGGTGTAATGTAACCTTGGTCAGCGAAGTGGTAAAAGGTGTCGAGGTTGTTGCTATCGAGAGGATTGTCTTCGTCGAGTGGAACAGGACGGAACAGAATGGGAGTGGTCCGGCAGCTTCCGAGGCTTCCAGGTACGTCTTCTTCTGCTGCGTCAGCTTGGCAGCACGGTCGGCGAAGGAACGAAGTCCCGAGAAGCCGTCGGTGGGGTCTTGTGTGTTGGCAATGTTGTCCAGGTAATGCTGCAGCGTCAGCGCTCGTAGAAATAACATCACGTGATGCCACGGTATTTTTGTCTTGTATGTCGAGAATTTTCCACGCGTGAAAATGTTTGGCGATGCCGAGGTGTAGTCCCCACCGAGCTCGTTGTGTGAAGCGTCCTGCTCGGGCTGTGTGGGGTCTGTACTGTACCATGCAGCCGAAAACTCGGAGTAATTTTGTGCTGCCCCTTTTTCTTGTCCACACAGGTGCGGTGATGCGTTGTTGGGAAGTGATGACGAGGACAGCAGGTTGTGCAGGTGAACGGCATGTGTCATCGCGTCTGGCCACAGTGTGGTGGGCTGCCTCATCCCCAGCAGTAGTTTTCGCATCGTCGTCTGCAAGGTCCGGTTCATGCGTTCTGCTACCCCCTGCTGCTGGTGAGCATAGGGCAGAGACACCAAGCGTCGGATTCCTCTTTCCGCCAGATAGGTCCTGAAGCGTTGTGACTGGTATTCCAGTGCACCGTCTGACTGGAAGCTCTTGAGCTTGGTCCTGATTCTCGTTCGGCGATGGGAAGCCATGTGGTGAAGGCCTCGAAAGCTTGATCGCGCGTTTTGAGATTAAGTGCCAAACGTATCTGGTTGTTGCGTCGATGAATGTGATGACGTAGTTGAAGTCGGCTTCGGTGTCTTCTCGAGGCATGTTTAAAATGTCGCTGTAGACCTTTTCCATCGGAGCGTAAGTAGGTGCGCTTGGGGTTGTGATGAGATGGGAAGGGTTGATGAGGAAGATCTGCTTCGGGGCACGTGAAGCACCGTGCTCGTGGTCGTCGAAGTTCTTGGCCGCTCGTCGTTAGAAGGGCGTTGCGTTCTAACACCTCCGCTTGGATTGTTTGTAGTATCGTGCTGTTTGCAGGATGTCCGAGACGTTGGTGCCAGATGTCGTCGGAAGCGCGATGACCGGGCGAGCGGTGGTAGATGTCGGCGTTGGAGAAGAACGCGACGACTGAGGCGGGACTTCGACAAACTTCTCGTGTGATGGGTATAAGCTGGTCTGCTTCGGTTGGCGGTCCTCGGGTCGCTGGTGGTGGGACTCGGCTGGGTCCTGCTGCCGATACTGCAGGTGATGGTTTGGTTGGGATACTTGCGGGAACTTGTCTTTCTTGTCTGATAACTGCTAATGCTCTTGTTCTCTCTGCTGCAGGTACGGTGTTGGAGTGCCAGAAGCCGTCACTGTCGAAGTCAGGATCAAGATCCGGCGGGTGAGTCCAGGCGGCGAACGATACGATACCGTCGCTGTCGGCAGTACCGCGGTCGGGGACGAAGTCCAACACGAAGACACCGGACTTCAGGAGGGCACGACCGATGAAGAGGCCGCCCTTCCCGTGGTAAAGCCGAAACTCGTTGGAGTAGGAGTCGCACTCCAGGTGAATCCCCTTGGCCATTAGTTGGCTCACGCTTAGTAGGTTGTATCCCAGATTGTCGACAATGAGCACTTTGTTGAGCTGAAGTATGACGTTTGTCTCCATGGATTGTAACTGAACCACGCCTTGTCTGTTTGTCTTCAGGTTTTCGTTGTTGGCGACGGTGATGACGACGTTGCGGTTGAGGCGTTTCTCCTGTTGCACGAAGCGTCCCGAGGAGCACATGTGTTGACCGCAGCAGCTGTCCAAGAACCAGGTGTTTCGCCCGGTGGGTTCGGCGTTAGCGACTGCAGCATATGTTGGATTGACTTGAAGGCCTTGTGAGCGTGGTGGTGGCAGCTCTTCTTCGTCTGGCGCGTAGGTGGGTGGTGATCCGGGTGCGCAGTTGTCGATGTGTACCATGCAATTGATTATGTTTGGTGTTTGTTGTGCAGATGTTGAAGAGCGCCTTGGGGGACTAGCTTGAGTGGAAGTGACTTGTGGGTCTGCTGGACGGTAAACGCGAGGGCGGTTGCAGTTGACCTTGGAGTGCCCGGAAGTCTGGCAGTTGTGGCAGAACGGCGGCACGAAGGTAAGTCCCCTGTTGTCGCGTTCTTGCTTTCCGCGTTGATTGTAGTTGTTGTCGTTTCTTCGTTGAGTGTAGAAGACTAACTGCTGCTGCTTCCTTGGTTGTCTTTCTTCGAACAGGTCCATCTCCTGTTGTTCAGCGTGAAGCTCGGCGCAGAGGTGCATCTCCGAAATCCTTCCATGGGCGCGAAGAAGCGATCGTGTGGTTCGCCATTCTGGCCCGAGCCCCGCGAGGACAAGCGTCACGAAGCTCTCTTCAGTGATTGTTCCTCCGCACCGAAGCAGGCGGTCGCGGAGGGTCTGGCAGCGACTCATATACTGCATCGCCTTTTCTCCGGTCTTCATCTGTATTGTTGTCAGTTGTTGCATGAGTCTGCTTTGTGTCACGCTGTCGTTTGCTTGGTAGAGGCACTTGAGATGGTGCCATGCGAGCTCCGCGGAGTTTCCATAGCTCCTGTATGTTCTGATGCTCTGCTGTTCTTGTGGTGACAGGTTTCTCAGGAGAACCGTATACGCCAGCAGCGACTGATACGTGAAGATTTCTTGTTCCTTTCCAGTGCCGTTGCTTGGGAATGGCAGGGATCCGTTAAAGTATCCCAGAAGATGCGCGGCCTCCATCAACAGCTCGAACTCGAAACTCCAGGTAAAGAAGTCGTGTCCGTTGAACGGTGAGGATGTCTGCAGTTTTATCACGTGCGAGAACTGCGCCTGGAGACTTAGGATTTCGTTTGGCGTTTGTTGTGATGCAGCTGCTGTTGGTTGGGCACGGGGCGGCATAAACTCGAACGTCCCCGGTGAAGAGTGATAAGGCGCAAAGGTAGGCGCTTGATTGTGTCGCCCAAACGATGAGTTGTCGAGGCTCATCGGCGCTAATCCCATGTTTCCTCCATTGCTTTGTGTTGAATGCGCAGGTGTCCTTGTCTGCTGCTGCTGGTCGAAGTGCGACATGAAGCTGAAGAACCTTTCCATAAGGTTGGGGTCCACGCTTGAAGAGGGAGATGGAGTCACCATCTCTGGTACTCTTCCCGTTGTTTCTTGAGCAGTCCCGGTCTCTGTCTGCAGTCCTGAGGTGTGCAGACCAGAGTTACCGTGTTGAGTTTCTTGGCCGCTGGGTGAGCCCGTAGAGACTTTCTTGCCCTTGCTGTCCATGTCTTGTAATCAAATGAAGTCGTTGAATTGAGTTGATTTGCAGGTTGTTGATAAAGCGTAGTTGCTGGGAGTTTGGTCTCTGACTAGCTCTGATACCATGTTGGGCTGAGAAAAGCCCTTAGGATCTTTCCAGAGACTAAGTCCCAGTTGAAGAATGAGACTTGAGTAGTGCAGCGGAAGTTGAGGCAGTTGAACCCTTGTACTAGTATATGAGAACAAGTGATTGATTAAAGAAACAAGCATACAGCAATATATAGAAAATAAGAAAGCAGTTGTAGAGTACAGTTACAGAAACGGTTTATCGAGTCGCACAGCGACTCGGTTGCCGCTTCGGTTACCATTCGTGATGTTGTAACTGTCAGTCGCAACCTCCAGTTGCGACCTTTCGAGTCTTTTCGCATTCTTTGTCCGCCCCCTCGTGTAACCTCCGTTGACTCGTGTGCTTCCCTGTAATCTTCATCGAGTACAGTGTTATACTTCAGAAACGCTCAAGTCCTTTGAGATATTTCCAACAAAATAATAATAGTCATAATCTAGATGTAAAATGCAAAATAAAATTATTCAATTTGTCAAACCGGCAAAGATAGATCTGCAACCCTAAGACGATTTAGTCGCCTCTTGTTTTTCTTCTCGCCGTCAAAAGTTCGACCAGCAACTAAGTCAGGTGTTCGGACGTGGCCGAGTTTCCTGACAAACGCGGGTCTCGATTTTTTTAGGGCCGGATTTGAAACCTCGTCGCGAAAGCTCTTTCACGAAGTGTTTCACGACATTAACGATGTAACCCGAACGAAATGAAGTGAACCGATCAAAATGTACAACGCCCTAAACGTACGCGTTGGACACACCCCGGGGGCGTGTCCTAAGCGTTCGTTTTTTTTCCTATAACCTCCCGAACTGTGTTAAAGAGCTATTTGATCTTTTCTTAAATGCAATTCACCTCACTCAAGCGCATTGGGACGTACTCTTAGCACACGCCCTAAAGAGAAGAGCACGACACACCCTGTGGGGGGCACTCCCAAACCGTACCTGCGCGAAAGGTGTATTCCCATTGGTCGCACACCAGCCCCGTAACACCCAAGGCAAAACTCAACCTGCCACAGGCGTGTAGCCTAGTGTCTTGGGACTTTTCCAGCTAGAAGGCGTGGTACAGTGTGGTGGAAGTTGGGACGGAGGCTGCTCACAGCGAATTCAGAAGTTGGGCCGACGACCAAGTTTTCCCATCGGCACCAAGTTTTCCCATGCGACTCGGGAAAACGTTGTGGATACCCAACCTTGCTGCGAAAAGCTCGCGAAAGAACCACCGAAAACAAGCCGCGAAAATGCGACCTCCAAAATTTCGCAGGCAACTGGGAAGCACGCACAACGGGCTGCGACCCATAGGCGAACAGAGGAATGTACCGGCTGCGCGTCTGCAACCTGACGGTCGACTTTGCAGCAACATTGGTACAAAAAAACCCGCCAACAACCCCAAAACCTGCACTGCTAAACTGTACCCATCGCGTTGCGATGTTGCTGTTAGGTTTTTATGGCTTGAGAGGCGATATTGGGGTCCAGGAAGTTCTGCCCGTTATTCGTTTCGTGCCTCGTTTGTTTGTGTGTTGTTACGGGCAGCTGATGCGGTAACCGTGCCACAGGGCCGCCTGTTTTGCAATCGTTTTGCGCCAGACGCGTTGATCGCGTTGGTCGTGCGCCCACGTCGCAGGGCACATGGGCGAAACTTTTGGTTTCGGCAAAATCCGAAGCGCACAGCCCAACATTGCATTCCCAATTTTAGACATTTCAAGACATTTCGAGCCGCATGGGAAAACTTTGCTCGTCAGCCCAACTTCAGAATACGATCTCAGACTCTAGGCTACACGCCCTCAGCTTGTCTCTTTTCTGACGAACCTACCAAACCCTATCCGGAATGGCAATCCCATCATCTCATCTCAAGTCTTCGTCGCAAGGGCGTGTGACGAAAAGTTTGCTTTCTCCAAATACCCTACCTAATCGTTCTGTATCGTTTAGGAAAAGCTTTAGAACGGTAAGAACTTCAGCCAACCGCAACGAAGCAAAATCTTGTCACAGGCCTATAAGACATGCAATCACCGCCTTTCACTGTCAAGATGCGCTATTCCCCGTTGGCATTCCTCCGTAACCATGAATTCTATCCTTATTAGATCTCGGTAGCTAGAATGGGCACATGCGGAGTACATAGATTCTTCCTGACGGCAGCACTGCTGTCGTGTAGCTGGCCTTCCCCCAAGAATGCTACCCGTTGCGGGTCGGAGAACTGCCATACACGTGATGCTTGATCGCAAAATGCCGAGTACCCTCCAGCATGGCATCAATGCATGCACGTGATGCTCGAGGCGAAACCGACCCTGGAGCTGCGCAGTGCTTGTGCACAGTATGCGCTGCATGCGCCAAGATCGAGTTGGCCCTTCGCTGAAGTTAAAGACGACGGCCAAAACGTCATTCCCCGATTGAACCGAAGCCACGTTGCCCTTCTCTGAAGTCAGACGGCCCCCAAGGCCAAGACGCCTGATAAAGTCGTCAGTAATGACGACTGCCCAGCATTTGTCATGCATGCCAGTGCTAGTACTACTACTAAAACGCCATGCCGCCGGATGAAGCGAATTCGCCGTCCCAGTCCTCTTCGCTCGCCGTTCAGCCGCGGCGGTCACCGCGGTGGTGGTCCGCAGAAGTGAGTCCCACTCAGGCTGCCGCCTAGACCCGTTGAATGCGCATGCAAAGCCTGCATGCGCCCCTCCCCTTCTCGCTAGCACAGCGGTTAGGGCTTGTTTTGGGATTGACCTACGTGGTGATGTCGGTGGAATGCCTATTTAGTGAGCCTTAAGACACGCTATTTGGCCGCACCTTTTCACCGTGCACACCTTTGCATGCACTGTTCACGGTGCACGGCCATGCCCAGGGATCGATGTCCAAGGGATCAACGTTATATCTCTAATCATTGCCCCACACACTCGCCATGGCAGGAGGACGCTGTTCTATTGCGCCACGCCCTGCGCTGCGGCACGAGGCAGTGGGGAGAGCTGGGAAGGAGCGGTCAGTTGAAGTGGAGCGGCAAGTCGTGCTGTAACCGTTACATCTTCCTCAAAAGGTACTTGTAACGCTGCATGCCACTCTCAAATACTGAAGTTATGCGTTCTGCCAGGGCTGTTCTTTTCTTAACACCTCTGAACACCTCGTATGTGGGAATGTCTTGGTGCAGGAAGTTTCTTCATCGCAGAACAGAGCGCCTGGGAGGTGCCGCTGTCGCATTCCCCCAAGGCATGGCCTTGGAGGGGCCGAGCCAGTTCCAGCCTTGGCATGACGACCAGCAGCAGCAGCAGCAGCAGCAGCAGCAGGGGGAGGATGGCGTCGGTTCACCCGGGTTGCCGACACCTACTCTTACTTTCGGTGGGCTGTCGTTTGACGAGTGCAGGAGTGTGTTTCTCTCACCCAATGCCCGCTGCTCCAATGCTCGTTTTTCCAGTGCTCCCTTCTCCAATGCTTCTTTTCCCGGTGCTGCTGCTGTCTCCAATGCTCCGCCTATTGCTTCTGCTTCCAGTGGACCTGTCTCCGACGCTGCTGCTCTGGCGAATGGAACCGCTTATGTCGGCGCAGCTGCACTCAGCTTGCCGATGAAGCGAGCGAGAGAGGACTGGATTGGGCTGGAGGACCGGAGCGGGGTGACTTTTGAGTCGACTCAGAAGTCACCTCTGGCGAGTGGAACCGCTTGCGTCGGCTCAGCTGCACTCAGCCTGCCCTTGAAGAGAGCGAGAGAGGAATGGAACGGGCTTATGGCGACTGCAACGGAGCTGAGTCGAGCCGAGAGAGCGTGGGCCACTTTTGAGTCGACTCAAAAGGGCTGGAGCGGAGGGCTTATGACGGACGCACCGGTGCTGAGTCGAGCCGAGAGAGCGTGGGCCTGCCGCACCATGAGGCACTCTGAGTCCTCGGAGCAGCAGCAGCTGCTGCAGGGGGCGGAGAGTGACATTCTGGACGATGTGCTGATGCAGCAGCAGCAGCAGCAGCAGCGGCGGCGGTGGCAGCGGCGGCGGGTATTTCGGCCTTGCGTGGAGTCGGAGAGTGCCCTTCCAGGCGATGTGCAGCCGGGATTCCTTAGCGCGGATCCCAACTTCAGCGCACCGCGTGCTGCTCTCTCAGCACCTCTCTCCACCCACCTGCAGCCTGCACTTCCTGCACCCATGCGCACCCAACTCCCTGCTCTGCCTGGTTCTGCTCCCGGGGGGAAGAGCAGCTTCTCTGGAGACATTTATTTTCTCTCCAATGAAAGCATTTCTGGGGGGCAGGAGTTGGTCCCGTGCACTGAGGCATGCAGCGCAGAGCAGGAGAGCGACTCCCTTCAAGAAGAGCTTCCCACGCCAGCACCCCGCCTCTGGCTGCCTGGCCTCCCGCCTGTCCCCTGCTTGCGGCGCCCCTGGACTCCCCTGCAGTCCCCTCTGACCCCTCGTGCTTTCTGCCACCTGCTCTTGGGGACTGAGCCTCTGGGGCGAGTGCTGGCAGCCCCAGGCGCTGGGGAAGAGCTGGAATTCGTGGCAGATTGGACGGTGGAGGAGCAGAGAGGGACTGTGGAGGAGGAGCATGTTCAGCCGCACAGGCACCAGCAGTTGAACGGCCCTCAGCGCCCAGAGCTCGTCCCGCTGTGCCAGCCACTGTCCCAGCCACTGTCCCAGCCACTGTCCCAGCCACTGCCCCAGCCACTGCCCCAGCCACTGTCCCAGCCTCTGTCCCAGCCTCTGTCCCAGCCTCTGTCCCAGCCTCTGTCCCAGCCTCTGTCCCAGCCTCTGTCCCAGCCTCTGTCCCAGGCGTTTCTGCAGACTTTCAGTTCTCAGCAGCCAGTGGCCCCTGGAAACATTAGCAGTATCTCCAACATCCCTCTACATGGAAGGCAGATGCCCCCGAGTCTAAGAGGCTCGCACATGCAAGCTCCCATGCGGACAAGCCCTGCCTTGCTGCCAATTCCCTTGATTACACCACCGGCCCACGAGTCTGCTGCCCACTCGCACCAACAACCCGGCCCTGCCTTGCTGCACGAGCCCGGCACTGCACCAGAACTCACGGACCCAGCATTATCTTGGCCTGACATGACCTTTACTCTGGGCGGCGATGGGGATTCTTTGCTTGCCAGGGTTGGTCATGGCCTCAACTCGGATGCTCGCACCTCGACTAATCTGCTCGTGCTTGGAGGAACAACCAACTTGAAGACTGAGAATAATGGGGATGCGGTTTTGATTGACCGTACCAACACTTCGCATGAACCCTTAAATCTCTCACATGCAGTGAAGCTTGCTGCTGGGATGCCACCATTCGCCCACATTCTCGCCCCGATTCATCGGGGTCGTTCTGGCCAAGCGCCTAATGTTGCACTGGTCTTTGCCAGTACTATGCTGCCTTGTTTGTCACACAAAAGAAATGGGGATTAGCTTGTAATAAATAGTGCCGTACTTGCACGTACTGTTAGAATACTAGAATAATTAGAAAGAAGAGAGAACAAGGGAGATTTAGGGTTTGGTTTGTACTCTCTAAGAACACACACCATTTCTAGCCTATAACTTTTATATGCAAATGTATGTATAAGTTGACACACCCCCTAGGCTAGATAAGGGGTAGTGCTGAGCAAGAAGCACACAGCTCAGGGTGGCACTACTAGTCCAACCTCTGAGACAGGGGTCCGAAAACCAATCAGCAAGAGTACAAACAAGACAGGAGCAAACCAGGGCGGCACTACTACTCCGGCCATTGGAAGAGAAGCCACAAGGCCAGTCTGAAAGATATATATAAAGACGAGTACACAATCAGGGTCCTAGCAAGTGAGAGTCTACAGGAGCTAGACCAAGCTGCAAACAGTGCCGCTGATGACCTTTAGGCGCAAGCGCCTTAGTAAAGATATTAGCTGTGTTGGCACCGGAGGCCAAGTGTGCTACGCGGGCCTAGCAACGCTGCTGTAGCTCACGCAGGAGGAAGTACCGCTGCTGGATGTGCTTCGCTCTGCCCTCAAGTCGAGGCTCCTAACACAGGAGGATCATGGCCCTGTTGTCAGCGTACAGGACCGTGACAGAGCTAGGCCGCTCACCTAAGTCAGAGGGCAAGAAGGTCAGCCAGCGGAGCTCCTGTGCCGCCATGGCACCGGCGTAGATCTCAGCCTCACATCGAGACTGGGCAACAGACGAGGAGCGAGGGGACCTCCACGAGATGGCACCTGAACCAAGGCTAAAGCAATAGCCCTAGGAGGACCTGAGGGTCTCAGCATCGTCTGCCCAAGAAGCGTCTGTTTGCCCAGTACGGACGACTAGCCTCCGTCCTCCCAGCACTAGCCCCATGCCCGATGTACTCGCTAGATAACGCAGAGCCAGTGCTGTGGTCAGTGTCTGCCTGTGGCCACAAAGCGAGCCAGGATGCTGAGAGGGTATGCGAGATCGTGAAGAGTGCAAGTCATCAGGTTCGTGAGGCAACCCACCAGCTGTGCGTAAGGACCACTGGGCTCTAATGACTCCTCAGAAACTGGAGCCGAGAGCCTATGATCTACTCGCAGAGGTGTGGGTTGTGCGGAGGAGAACTGAAGACCAAACCTCTGAAGGACCTAGCGCACCAAGTGTGACTGTGTGAGAATAATGGTGTGCGCGGCTCTGTCCCTGGAGATCTGCAGGCCAAGGTAGCAGAGCAGCTCTCCTAGGTCAATGCAGGTGTGTCTCCTCAGCAGCTCCTTCACCGAGGCCAGCGCATCACTGTCTGCAGTAGCGAAGACCAGGTCATCTACGTAGACAAGGATGTAGAACGGAGTATGGCCAGCACGAACAAAGAGCAAAGGGTCTGCAGAGGACGGAAAGAACTGCAGGTCAACTAGTGTAGCAAGCAGCGTGTCGTGTCACTCACGGGGCGCCTGTCGAGGCCGTAGACCGGGCGCCGGAGGAGGCACTGGGTCCCAGGAGGGAAGGTACCGGTGAAGCCCTGTGGTCGGCGTAGGTAGACCTGCTCGTGTAGGCTGCCCTGAAGAAAATCAGTGGAGAAGTCGAGGGAGTGGAGCTCGTAGTCACGCTGAGCTGCTACATGTAGTAGCGCCTGAAGAGTAGTCATCTTCGGGGTCAGGGCGAAGGTCTGAGAGAAGTCCACCCCCTCTCGCTGACTGAAGCCTCTAGCCACGTAGCACGCCTTGAACACAAGCGGCTCTCCAGGGGGGCGCTTCACCTTGAAGAGCCACTGGCCATCGACTACGTTCACCCCAGGGGGGGGAACTGGATCGACATAGGTGCTGGTGGATCTCCAAGATGCCACCTTCTGCTCCATGGCAGCTATCCACTGTGAGGCACAGGGTCCCGAGGTCACCTCAGCGCAAGTGCGAGGGGTCGGTATGTCAAAGACGTTTGGGTGACCCTCAGGGACTAGCAACATGGAACAGAGATGGGGAGCAACCTCGGACAGGAAAGCAAGCTCGTACTGCATGTCCTCTAGAACGTCACTGCCAAGGGCAGGAGCACCCCCGACGGACCGAGGACAGACAGGGTCAAAGACCAGAGCAGTGGCATAGTCAAGGCGGCGGGTAGAGATAAAGTCAGCGACAGCAGCGACAAGAGCTTCAAGACTGGCAACAGGAACAGACGGGTCGGTAACGAGGGAGGCAAGGACCTGAGGAACAAGAGGATGACCAGCACGAAGGTAGTCAATCAGGGGGGGAGGCACGACGGCGAGCGACGATGGAGGAGGCGAAGGCAGGAGGGGAGGACGAGACGCGTGGGAACAAAGCAACTTAGGGTGAGAACGCTGAAGCGGAGAGACAGGAGGAGCACGAAAGGGACGGCGAGACCAGACGTGCGACGGAGGTGTTGGGTCAGGAGACAAAGGAGGAGTAACAGGAGGGGAACGAGGTGGGAAACGGGCCGGGGACCAGTCCGGCGGAGGAAACACGGGTCCGTGGACAGGAAGGGGAGGAGGCGGCGGGGGAGGCGCAGGCGAGCGGTCAGGGGAGGAAAGGCCGAGCAGGCAAAGGGCGGACACTGGCGGCGACTGTTGCTGCTGCGGCTGCTTGACGCCGACACCTGGACCGCCAGCTGTACGCATCCGGTAGGTAGCACTCATCCGGTAGGTATCACGGACGGTAGGTTCGGTTCCAGGGAGTAGAGTAATGCGGTGATCGATAGCTCTCTTGGGAGGAAGACCAGAGGGAAGGTCTGAGGGGAAGATGCCTTTGAATTCATCCAAGACCTGTTAAGTTTCATGAGGGATCTCAGCAGCCTTGGAAGGGGAAGAGGAAGAAGGACTTTTACAGGTTTTCTTTAAATGATAAAGAAAGAATTGAGCACTTGGGTCTTTTAAATATTTTTTAAACTGTCTTGCTGAAAGAATGTTACAGCAAGTAGGTATGGAAGGAGAGGAAGAAAGGGTAGGTAAGGTTATGTCTCTTCCAGCGTTAGAGATGGTAACAGTTGCAAGGGTCCAATCAATCTTGGGATTAGCAATAGACAGGCAATCACACCCAAGAATGATTTCATGGTCTCCAAGGGATGCTAGCTGAAATTGAGTCTTGGTTTTGCAGGGTCCGATGGTACAAGGGATAGGGAAAGGTAGTGTGGTCCACAAGGAATTGAAGTTCCATTTGCTATCAACATTGTTTGAGGTAGGAATTTAGGTTGGGCTGGGAGGGAAAGCTTGGAAAGTAGAGAGGAGGAGATCAATTTTGAAGAAGCACCACTGTCAATTAAGGCTTTCACTCTTTGACATCGGATAGTGATGGGAAGAAGCAGAGGTTTAGAAGGGCTATGAATTTCAAGAGAAGAGATGGAGGGGCTGATTTTGTTACCAGGAAGTTGCCCCGAACTCACTGACGACTTCCTTTTCCCGGCGTTGGAAGAAGAGGTAGTTGATTGGTGTGCCCGCGCCCGCGGCAGAACTTCCAGATGTGTCCTTTCTTGCCGCACTTGAAGCACACGACTGGTGGCCTCAGGTTCCGCTTTATTTTTTCCATCAGGTCCAGGTCCATAGGAGCGGGTTCTTGCTGGTTGGTGTCTGCTGAAGTGAAGGACTGGTAGGAGGGAGCAAAAGGGAGAAGCGGGTTGCTAGGAAAGCGAGGCTTACTGTAGGCAAAGTGAACAGTGTCATACCATTCAGCCACACATATCGTTTCCTCGAGCGTAGTGCATTCTCTCAGCTCCACCTCCATGCGCACGTTCGGCTTCAATCCACGCTTGAAGCCATCCATTCATTCGGCAAGGGAGAGATCCGGAATTTCTTGACTGATGTCACGGAAGCGAGAAGCGTACTCTTGGACAGATTTCAGTTGCTTGAGGGCAGCCATGGAGTCTCGTGCCTTGATGTTCAGGTTCACGGGTTGAAATGTTGACGTGAAGACTTGCTTGAAATGTTCCCAAGAGGTGATAGATGCGTGCGCGGATTGCCACCATGCAATTGCAGATCCATGAAGAATAGCTCCGGTGAAGGCAGTCCATTCAGCAAGTGCTATGTGACTCAGCAGCAAGAACTGCTCTACGAGGAATAGTCACCGGCTCACGACCGGCTGATTTCTCCCGGGAAACAAAAAATCAGGAAGAGCGGGTCTAGCGCGCTGATTTCCATCTGATGGTGCAGCAGGGTTCACGCCTGCCACCACTCTAGCTGCAGCTATACTGGCTTGCAATTCTGCCTGCAAGCTTTCTCTAACCTCAGAAATGATTTGGGCTCGGTAGATTTGCAAAAAAACCAGCCCAATCGTCAGGAGAAGGGGGCCCATTAGTTGTCATGATGAGTTATAAACAAAAGAGGGTCGGAGATAGCTCTGATAACCAAATGAAACAGCCACTAGGCTATTTGGAGTAGATAGTAGAGTTAGGAGGTATTCTTGGAAGGGTTGAAAGGTGAGAGTAGCAAGGTAGTTTTACTAGAGAACATATGATGGCTTCCAATCAAGAAGCACACCACTATATACAAGGAAAATGACTGAGGCACCTCGAGAAGGTTGCCCAAGTCGCATCTCACCTTTGATAAGCTAAGTACAGCAAAGCATAGGTAGTGATTACATGCATACACAGTTAGCCTTGCTGGAATCTAGAAAGTAGCATGCATAGTCTAGGAATTAACTATTGCAGCCTAGACGAGTCTTCCTTGTACTGGTGTTGTTGACGATATTTATAGAAATGATGAGATATAGCTGTGTTGGTAGAAACCATGGCTGTAGTTGCTTTCCGCTGGGTGCGTTGTCGATTATTCTGATGCGCTGCTTGGCTGGCTTGCTTGCTCTCTGTAGTTGTTCCCAAGGTTGGAAACTCAGATTGACTGGTTTAACAATTCGAGGTTGGGTTCAACCTTCGAATTGCCCAAGGATGTATTCCGAGGTTGGGTTTCAACCTCGAAATCACATTGAGTTTAGTTGGCGAAATCGGGAGTGACGATTTCGCCTCCGTCTTGTTACAAAAGGAGTGGTCAGTTGAAGTGGAACGGCAAGTCCTGCTATAACCGTTACACCTTCCTCAAAAGGTACTTGTAACCATGCATGCCACTCGAAATTCTTGGATTTATGTGCTCTGCCAGGGCTGATCTTTTTG